TGAATTGCACATCTAAAAAAGTTTAAATGCTAAATTTTATATTATGTGTGGTTTTAGCACACTTACGGAATGTACAGTGTTAAGAAATTGCACAAGTAATGAATGTTCATTTGAGAAACATTAGAAAACAGAGAAAATAGGTGGCACAAGGGGTTAAGTCTCAGCACTATCATTGTAGCATGAGTTGGATCCATGAGTTGGCCAGGGCGTGGCAGAACTTCCTGTCTTGCCTGCCACTCCCCTCAGCAGTGTACTTTGTTGATCTACCTGTTCTGTTCCCCACTTTATCTCTGGTGAATCCTCTCACATATACCCTGCACCTCTGGCCTATACCCCAGTTTTTGTATGCATAAATAAATAAAAATAAAAATAAATATTAAAAAGAGCTGCAAGTAAGATCTTTGCACATATATTTTTGGCTACTTGTGAGCATTATTTTAGGATAAATTGCTGGAATTTCTGGGTCAAAGATTTATTGCCTGTTGGGGGTCTTTGCCTCTTGCCAGAATGCACATTGAAGTTATACATTATTTATAGCGATTCCCATGAACAGCAAGCTGCTGCTTGAACCAAGAGAGGAGATTCCTCTGCCAGCCAAACTCAGCCTCGATGGATGGTCAGGTGGGGGAACATGGGGCCTGGAGGGGTGCAGTTTGGAGGTCAAAGTTTGCCCCATTCATGTCCTCATCCCAGACTCTATGACAAGGGTAACGTACAAGGCTAAAGGTGCTTTGCAAAAAGCTCTTGAGGTGGGGAGATTTTCCGTGTGGCCACAATGTAGTCACAAGGTTCTTATGAGAAATCAGCAGGAGGGTCAGAGTGTGACGAGATGTGATGATAAAAACAGGTGGAGAGATGTGGGGCCATGAGCCAAGGAATGCAGGGGGACTCCAGAGGAGCTAGAAAATGCAAGGAAAGAGGTTCTTCTCTAGAGCCCCCAGAAGGAAAGCAGCCCTACCAGTCCATTGTAGACTTCTAACTAGAAAAACAATTGTTCTGTCCAAGCCACTAAAAGTATAGTAGTGTTACAGCAGCAATAAGAAAAAAATACTTCTCCCCTGACTCTACCACCTTATCCTGGGGTCCCACTGAACTGAAGGACCATGGTCTGTCTCTGCACCTAATAGCCTGAGACATGAACACCACCACCTCAAACAGGTGCCTCCTAGGCAGAGCTTACCCAAGATTCTGTGCATGGGGGACAATCCCTGCCCAGGGTTACCCTCAAGGACACTGGGAACAGGGCTTGCTAACGGTCATAGGGTAATGTGAAGTGGTGCCAGGCCTGAATTCCAAGATCTAATCTGGCAAGCCAGGGGTTCCCCATCCACTCCGTCAAGCTGAGCCTCTCTCTGCACTGTCAGACTTGCCTTCATGCAGAGGTAGTTATTCAAGAGTGAATAAGGGAAGACATCTGGCTCTGGGTACTCCTGTACTATCCATGTGATGTTATAGAATAGTGGGGCTTGACTCTTGCATTGAAAACCAGGCTTAGGGAGTAGGGAGCTCCTTTGCTCCAGAGTCCACAGGGTCCTTTAGGTTTTTCTAACACTTGAAGTCTCCCTCAAGGCTTCCCCAAAACAGTATCGTTTTTGTACTCTATGGGGAGTTGCTCAACCATGCCTGGAGGAAGCATGAGGCACCAGTGGTTCTGGTCATTTAACTAAGAAAAATTCTGTGCCAGTTGCAAGTCCAGAGCTCAGAGATATCTGGGGTTGGCCTGGGGAAGCATTTCTTTTGACCTGTCAGTCCATTTATCAAAAATCCAAATATTCTGTAAATCCATCTGGATTTCTAACTTCTCTTGAAAATTTTGGTTCTCCAACTGAAAGAATGCCTAACGGCCAAAGCAGGAACAATTTGAACCACAAAATAAAATAGCATTGGCTTATAATCCAAATTATCAAATAAATATCCATGAATACCTACTGATATAAATGATTGAGTAAGTAAGTAAATGAAGAAGAAGAGTTAGAGTTTCCATACAGAATTCCAAATAATGTATGCAGACACCGTCGTCTTCATCAGAAAGAGGAACTTAACCCCCGGTGTGGGCTAAGTATAGTTCTCTCCTTTCAAAGAGTCAACAGGGAAAGCAGTTAAATAAATAAATAAAAAAATTATACTGGAGAAATCTGACAAACCAAACATTGTCTCCAATAACCGGGTGGATGGTCTGTTTTCTTGATATGATGTGGTAAAATGGCATTTCATCTCTGGGCTCTTCCTCCTAAAAACCCATAGACCCCAGTTTAATCATTAGAAAAACATCAAATTCGCACCAAGGGACACTATAAAATTCCTGACTAGTACACTTCAGAACTGTCAAGGTTATCAAAAATTAGGGATGTCTGGGATACAGTCACAGCCCAAGGAGCCTCAGATGCGGTGACAACTGATGGGGGATCCTGGAAGGGCTCCTGGGACAGGAGCAGCACAGTGGGGGAGCACAGGTGCCCTGGGCAGCGGGGACACTGGGACTGAACAGCATTTGGACGTAGGTTCGCCAGTGCTGACAAGTGCTCATGCTACGGAAGAGTTCCCACACACCCGAGATGCCTCTGAGGCCTCGCCATGCTGTCCTGGGTCTCTATAAGAGGTGCCACAGGTTTTCCTGAGGTAAGAGCTTGGGGGGAGGGTTCAGGGGGAAGGAGTCATCTCCCAGGCCTTGACCCCTCTAGATATGACAAGACCAAGGGGCGGAGACTGGGCATGGCCTACTGAGAGCTCTACAGCAGCTTGCCTCAGCCCAGAGTTCTTCTTGCCTGTGTCCAGTGCCTGTCTTCCTGGCCAGGCCCCAAGGGCTCTCTCCAGGTGCTGGATCCAGCTGTGAAGTGGTCCTGGGAGTGTTTTCCAGAGGGCAGATTGAGTCATCCTGCTGTCAGTCATCTGCACACCAGGGAGTGAACAGTGGGGGTGGGGGTGGGGGAGGGAGGGAGGAGCATCCACAGCTTTCACATACCTGGTAGTGTGTGTGGAGGGTGCTCAATGCCCAGTGGGCGTTCCTCTGGTTCTCGCCAACTCCACCCCCACAGCTGGCTGTGGATCCCTATGTCAGAATAAGTGAGAATACCGCCCCCCCCCGCGCCCCCCCGCCCCCCAGGATGTGTTAGTGATATGCTTTCCAGCACAAGCAATCTGGAGGCAGGCACTGGGCTGCTGTGGCTTGGGCTGCAGCCCTCCTCTGTCCCCTCAGTTCACCAGTCGGCTCTGGGCACCCAGAGATGGGGCTGGTGGAAGAGAATACTGAGGGTGATGGAACCAGCCGAAGTAGGGGAGAAGGGAGGCAGGAGGGGCCTGGATTTGGGGAGGAAGGCTGAACAAGGAGCAGCCTCTGAGACTGAGTGGGCGGCGGGTGGGCGCATGTGGCCCAGAGCCCAGGCACCAGGCTGAGCTGCTGCTCCCAGCTCAGGAGTCCTGGTGCCAGCTGGATGCTGGCGGGTGGGCACGGGCAGGGCTGCCTGCCAGACACACACAGAACACCCTTTGAGGAGGTGGCAGCTGTCCGCCCAGACACCCCTCTGCTTGCTGTGGCCCCGCCTGCTCCCCTCCACTTGCAAAAGGCCTTGTAAGCACTGTGCTGGGAAAACTGAGGTGCACAAGTAGAACCCCTGCTCAAGGGCTGAGGGGTGGGGGCAACCCTCTCAATGGCTCAGCAGGGAGGGACCCTGGCTCATCAGACCCAGAAGTGGTGGCAGGACTCCATTTCCCCCATTCTTGCACATCCGCTCCTTTGGTGACCCCTATTAGGACTCTCCCCTAGACCTTCCAGCAAAAATACAAAGGTGGCCCCACTCTCTGGGGTAAAATCTGGTTAGCCTTCTAGACCCCAATAGATGACCTGCTCACAGGGTCTTTGGGGACTGGGGGCAGGTCTGTGTCTCTGGGAAAGCCCATGCACCTGCCATCTGAGGTGTTTTCTTCAATCACCTGGGGGCTCCTGGTGCTGCACACCTGGCAGACAAGGCCTGTCCTGCTGGGCATCTGCCCCTACAGGTTCCTAGGGGGCTGGAGCTCTCTCTTTGACCCCCAGGAGATGGCATGAGCTGGCTGCCGCCCATCCACCTCCTGAAACAGGTGTCTTTCCTATTTTGAGCTCCCCAGGACCTCAGCCTAGGTGCTTGCTCATCCTCCCTCTCCATGGCAGCCATATCCCCTATCCTCTGGCTCAGCCCAGGAGGGGCCCCCCAGGGAGCATGCACAGTAGTGGTTGGCACAATAGAGTGGTCAGAACCTGGCTCAGCCTTCTGGTAGCTGAGGGACATCAGAGGCTGGGTTCAATGTGACCTGAAAACAGCAGTGTCCACCCGCAAGGGCTGGGGAATTAGGACCCAAGCATGTGCCCACTACCTGGAGTTTCCATGTTTGGGCATGAGGCCAGATGTGTAGCACTGAAGAAACTGGGGTTGTTTAAGGGGTGGGGGAGAGGGAAGGAGGTAGGGACAGGCTGCACTTTGCCTATCTTCTAGTGTGTGGGGGCTGGCCCATGAGTGGGAGTGGGGGTGACTGGGAGACCAAAGCCTCCCTAAAAGCCAATCCAGCTTTGTCAGGGTGGTCTGAGGATGAGCCGCTGACTGTCCCCCAGGAGTCGGTGACTCCCCATCTCTTGGAGGGGCAGTGGAGGGAAGGCAGAACAGGCAGAGGAGCCTTGGGCGGCGCTCAGAGAGTGAGGTCTGGGCTTTCAGCTGGGGGAGTGGGAAGGGGTTCAAGATCTTCTCTGCTGACCTGCCATCACCGGCAGACACAGGACCTGCGAGCCTGGCCTGGCGGTGTTGGGGGTTCTGGTCTCCACACTCGAGTGGGCGAACAGAAGATGGTGAAGCTTGAAGTGACCTTTGCCGGACGGCTGAGGCGTGGACAGCGAGCCTTCTCGCCGCTTTGGGCCGACAAATAAGTGCCGGGGTCTGGGGTCCTCGCCTTTAACGCGGCCCCCAGCAGAGCATCCCGAGGGGGAGGGGCGGCGCGCGGCGCGCATGCGCGGCGCAGTCTGGAGCGGCCGGACGGTCCAGCAGCCGCAAGCGCTCAGCAGCCCCCGGGGAACCCGAGAGCGCCCGACCCCGCGAGGGGGGCTCTGAGGGCGCGGCTAAGCGGAGCCCCGAGCCTGCCAGCGCCGCTGCCCGCCGGGCCCCGGGAGCGGGGGCCAAGATGTCCGTGCCGGTGAGTACCGACCGTGGCCGGACCCAGGGCTGCTGCCTTCCTCCGGGCCTGCGACCTCTCGCTGCCCGCTGCAGGCCTAACGCCGCGGGGGCTCCGGGGCTGGGGGTCGCCCCACCTGGGTCTTTTCAGAGATGGGAATGGGGGTAGGTTGGGGGCGTCCTCTCCAAGTCGGCCGCTCCGCCCGCCCGGCCTTTCTTTTCATCCTTTCCCTGGAAAGGCCGGTGGGGCTGGGATCCGTACAGTCCCCTCCCGGAGCACCCCCCACCCCAACTCCCAGGGTGACTGTATCGATAGGGGTTTTTGTTGGTTTCCCCGAAACTCCTGGGACTGCGGGGCCAGGCAGGAGTCCATTCTGGCCCCCAGGACTCACTACCGGCCTGGCCAGGCCTAGTGGTCAGATGTCTGTCACCGCTCAGGGTGAACTCCCCTGAGGCTCGCTGGGCGGGGTGTCCGGTGGGGAGGTCTGCGCGGCCCCGGAAACCACCACAGATAGCTGCCCTCCTGTGCTCCAGGAATTCCAGCCAGGATGGCCAGGTCTAGAGAGCCGTCAGTACCTCTGTCCAGAGCACCCCATCCCCAGGATGGCTCCCTTGTGCCTCTCCCTCCAGAAGGGCAGATGCACTCACTTTCCTGGGACGTTTTCCTCTGCAGCTGAACCCCCTTCCTCTCGCTTCACAGTAGGGGTGTTATTATGGCTTGATGTGCCCTATTCTTGGTCCAGCAGGCTAACCAACCTGGGCAGCCCCTAGGCCATAACGTCACACTTGGGGCCCACTGTGGAAGCATCTGGGCCCTGTCTCCTTAACCAGAGGGGTGAACCTGGCTTCCTCTCTGGGTGACCAGGCCTCAAGTCCAGGCCCCAACCCGTTTTACAGATGGGCAGACTGAGGTGGGAGGCTGGCATACTGCCTCCAGCCTGGACCGGGCGCCATCTGCAGGCTGGAGAAGCATGGCCTGTAACCATTGTTTCTCTGCTGAGTGAGGGAATTTTCTGGCAAGAAGGGCAGTGCACCTGTTCTGGTCTCTGGGATTGCGCCTCACCTGGGGAACCCCATCCTCATGGCAAAGTAGACAGTTGGGACTTCCTGGCAGGGCAGTGGCCTCTTAATTAACCATCTAGAGTGTGAGGAGATTACTGGAGGAGAGATGCTGTGTCAGTGCGCAGCATTGTTATTATGGAATTAGAGATCCCAGCTCCTGCCCGCCTCCAGAAGCAGTAATACAGAGCTACAGATGAAAAAATTAGGGCTTCCAGACCATGCTGATGTGAACCCCCGCCCTCTTCTCCCCCCACCCCCCAGCGCTGATCTGTTCTGGTGCAGAGCATAATTGCCTCATCTTTAGAAAGAAAGAAGGAAGACAGGGAATGCCTGCCAAGCCCTTCTCTCCTGCTCTGCTTTTCTGCAAAGCTCTGAATCTTTTCTGGCCTGGGACATCACAGGACCTGTCCTGCCCCTGTGCCTTGCCTGAGTCTGCTTGGAAGCCTGGGTCTCCAGGCCAGTAGTGAACAGGGGATGTGACTGGACTACGTCAGAGCCGGGACAGTCTGTTGGATTTAGTTTGGTTGTCCCCAGGTGCAGCAGCTTGGGACACAGATGCTGGCCTGGCACCTGCATCCCTTGCCTGGGCAGCCTTCCTGGGCTCTGTGCTGCAGTAGCCCTACCCGTAACAAGAGAGGGGTAAAGGGAAGACCAGGATTGGTGGGACTTGGGCAGACCCTCAGCAGCCACTGCCCTCGGAGATGCTGCAGGGTGGGTATGGGAGGTCTCAGCGGGACTGGGCTCTCCTGGGACCTTCGGCAATGTGTGAGGTGGAGTGACTGGGAGAAGAAATTCACCTTTGGAGCAACGGTGGAAGGCTTAGAAACTTGCTTTCCTGTTCTGGTGTGGCCCCTGGAGGCTTCTAGGCTGAGCAGACTGCTCAAGTCCTGCTCTTGGAACCCAGAATGGTAACTGCCATGTGGTGCTCACAGTCATGGCTGGGTTTTAAGCACACCCTTTCATTTGGGCTATCTTTTCCTGGATGGAGCTGACGCAGGCACTTTGGCCCGCAGAAATTATAGGATGCATCAGCACAGAATGGAAGGTGTTGGGGGTGGGGAAGAGAGGAGGTCTGGACTGTGCAGGTTGAGCTGAGTGATGTCCGGAGTGCAGGGAAGAGGGACCCTCTAGGGAATGGCTGATCGCATCCTGTCACTTGACCCACTTGGGGGTCAGGGCTCAGGGAGGGGGAATGTACACAGGATTCTCCAGACACCCTGCTCAGGGCTTCTTCCTCTTCCCTGAACCAAGCTCACAGAGTAACCAGAAACCCATTTTCTGACAGTCTTCTGACATCTGTCTACCCTTTGGGCATGCTTGGCCCATCCAGGGCCTGTTTCTGGGCAGGCAGGAAGTATTTGAAAGGAAATGGCTGTGCCAACTACCTCAGACCCAAGTGGTGTTGTCAGAGGATCTGTGTTGAGTGGCAAGCTGCTGGCTGCATTGTGGCACCATCAGGGAGATACCACATTCCAGCTGGTAGAGAAGTCCCGGCTGCCTGTCTCTGCCTCTTGTTTCCTGTGTGAAATGTGTGCAGCCATTCCAGCCCCGCCTCTATGCCTTCACTGACTTCTCACCTTTAGGAGTGAAGGTGCCATCAAGTGTGGAGTGCGCCCTTGGCCAAATCCTGGGCTCAGGGCTTCATAAGTGCAGGGAGGACCCAAGTCTTGCCAGGGCAACTAGTTGCTGGAGCAAGAGTGGGAACCAAGTTTGGCAGGATCCACAGTGAGAAAGTCAGTGGCCGCCTGCATGGCCTCTAGTTGTGCGGACTGAGGCCTGTTCAGCTGTCCACAGAAGCTGCAGCTGCTGAGAAACAATCCTCTGCTTGTGGCTTTTTAAGCATGAGTTTGTGCAACACCTCGGACACCCCTGGGAGACAAGTCAGCCGTACTCTGAGGGACCAGGCAGCTCACCCTGCTCAAGGCTTCTTCTTCCTCCCTCAACCAAATTCACAGAGCAACCAGAGACCCATGCTGACTGTCCTCTGACACCTGTCTTCCCCTTGGGCATGGCTGGCCAGCTCCAGGGCCTGTTTCTGGGCAGGCAGGAAGTGCCAGGGCTGTGTAACAGGGTGGGTAGAGCTCCATGCCGCCCTAGTGTGGTGGGTGATGCTCCTGGTGAACCTCCACCAGTGACCCCAGGAGCCCCCTTTGTGCCTGGCTCTGTACCAGAGCTGTGATGGTGGAGCCAGTCAGGGACCTGGGGGACTCTGCCTTGGGCCTCACTGGGGACTGCTAGAATGGGTTCTTGTGGGGCCAGGAGGCGAGGCACTGTCCAAGTCCAAAGTCCTTGTTTCCGTCTCCAAAGCACCCAACACGCCCCTTCCTGTCACATCCCCGCCTCCTGCCAAGCCTTGGCTCAACCTGTCCTTCCCTGCGGGAAGTAATCTCCTGCCTCAGCCTGGCTCCCCAGATGCCTCCTGCTCGCCCTCTTATCACTCAGGCTGGGCACGCTGCCCTGGGAAGCCCATTTGTGATCATGCATTTATCAGGGGGGTTATTTGGTTGCTGTCAGTCTCCCTCATCAAGCTGCAGGGTAGAGCCAGGCCTACTGGCTGGATCTCCCTGCCTCACTGCCCCAGCTGGCCATCGCTGCCTGCAGGGGGCCTCGTGGAGCCACAGACAGGTGCCTCTGTCCCTGTGCCTTGGCTGCTGTCCTGTCCCGGAGCCTTGTTGAGGGTTGAGAGCATCTCCTAGGGTTGAGAGGCTGCTTGGTGGGTTGAGGACAAGGGCTCGAAGATGAATGGTGGGCTGACTGGTCTGCAGCTCCAGCTAGCTACTGACCTGTTTCAGCCTCCATTTTTTCCCATGTCCCAGAGCTGTCTACAGCACTTGGGGTTTTATGAGCACTTGGTGAGGGGCACGTAGAACTCTTTGTAAGAAATTGTTAAATCACAGCAGGCACTTGGCTGAGGTCATTATCTTTATCCTAATACAGTAGCCAGCATGGTGGCTCAACACCTGCTCCTGGCTCCTGCCCAGGCAGCTGGGGGAGGGGTGATGGCCCCTGCCCCTCAGGCTTCTGTGGCCTGCCCAGTCTGTCCCCAGTGGCCCTGTTTTGGCTGGTATGGTGCCTGCTTAGATCTGAGCGGTGGGGTGACTGCTTACCCCGCTTCTAGGATGCCTGTGGACCCCCTGCCTCTTGAGCCCTGGATGTACCTTAGGGGGTAGTGCCTGCTCTTATCCTACAACAGAATAGTTTCAAGTGGGGTTGACAGCTGGGGTGCCCTCCGTGAGCATCCCAGGTGCAGAGCTGAGGGGCGCGAGGGCAGTGCGGCAGTGCAGGCCCAAGGTCAGGTGCAACAGCCTGATCTGGCAAGGGCCCTGGCTAGGGAGGAGCGCCCCTGAGGTGGGTCGCAGCACCCCGAGCGGGGCTCAAGCTCATGGGTGAAGCAGGTGTGCCTCAGAGCTGTGAAGACTGGCCTCACTATTTGCCTCCCCGGTACAGGGCTGTGCGCCTGCTCCCTGTCTCCTCCCGTGCGTGTGCTGGCCTTTGCCTCCACAGCTTTGACTGGGCTTCATCGCAGTGCAAAGCGTCCAGTTAAAGCAGTTAGAGCTTCTTCAGCTCCCTCTCGCTCTCAGTTTGCTGGGTACACGGGTGGGGGCCTTTGTTGAAGTGGAGTGAGGTAGTATGGATGTCTGCTCTGGCAAGAGAGATGGTCACAAGTTGTGGCTCTGAAGTTAATCCCTTCTTTGAGGGGGATTAGGGGTGGGGGGCCTTTTAGTCATTTTCATTTACTATTTAAACTCCTCCAAGTTCCATGAAGGATTAGAAGCAGATTATAGTGAAAGACACACATAGTTTGGAATCATCAAAAAATTCAGAAGTAGTTAATGTATGGAGAAGGGGGAAATTGATTCCAGAAAGCTAAGCTGTGTGCATACAAATTTAATTTTTAAGTTCCCTGAGAGCCAGGGCAAAAGAGGTAACTTCATGATTTTAGAATTGCAGTATCTGTTT